GAGGTAAAAATTTATTGGTAGCATACTCGATTAAACGAGTAATTTTCTCGCCTACTACCGATCCCATACTACCCCCCATAAACTGAAAATCCATAACCCCAATTGCTACGGGAATGCCGTTTAGTTGACCTATGCCGGTTTGAATGGCCTCGGTTAATCCTGTCTTTTTTTGATAAGAATCAATACGATCTTTATAAGGTTCTTCCTCCGAATGAAAGTCAATGGGATCCAGAGAGAACATGTCCTCATCCATAGGATCCCAAGTGCCTGGATCAATCGAAAGTTCAATTCTATCTGAACTACTCATTTTCAAATGATATCCACATTGTTCACAAATATTCATTTTTGATTTAAAAAATTTCTTATAATTTAATCCATAACAAATTTCACATTGAACCCACAAATGCTTGTATTTTTGAGTTACGCCGAGATCATTAGAATTTTCTCTTAGAGCGAAATCGCTGCCGTTCGTGCTAGTTCTTAGCCTGGAATTCCTGTTTTCACTACTATTTCTACTTTCACCCCAAATGTAAGTAGAAATGTAACTTTCGCTGTAATGTTCACTACCACTTAAAATATAACTATCAATCCCGATTTGAGAACGAAGATAACTGTCAATGCAACTATTGATGTAATTATTCCAACTATATTTAGTATCATACATATAATAATCATAGTGGGAATCGTCACTCCTAGACCCCTTATTTAAATAACTAGAATTCCAATAACTAGAAAAAGAATTTTCTAGTTCACTCAAAAAAGAATGATTATTGTCAATCCCAAAAACTTGATTTTCAATATCAAAATATATGGAATAACCATCTTTTTTATTATCCCTACCTAAAACTAAAAAAGTGTCATCCACGTTTAAATTCCGAATGTCCCTAACGCCGACTAAATGATCAACATTACTACTGTTACTACGACTCCAATTATAGGTGTTTTTTTCTGTATCATTTAGAATCGGGTCTTCACTTACACTGATATTTTCAAGAGGACCAAGATTATCCATTGATTTACTTAGCCTACACCTGTATTCTAACTCCACATTGGATAACATCGAATTGAACCAACATTTTTTCATAGAGCTTTCTTGCCGCTATTTACATCAAAATAAATAGATGTATAGTCATTCGATGAAAAATCATTTGAATATTTCACTTCCTCTCAGAATAAGCATATAGATCGAATAAGTATATAATCCAATCACTAGGATTATTAAGTAATAAAGAGTGGATATTGAAAAATGAAAAAAAAAAAGAAAATAATTCTAAATAAATAAAAAAAAATAGGACTTTATCATGTTGTGTCAAATTCGCATCGAGAAAAGAAATCTTTCTTTTCTCCTAGGAATATTAGGAAGAAGATTTTTCGGAAAATCTCGTCTATTAATAACTTTCTATACCAACATAGAACGAAAAGGACAATATACAGGATGGGTAGAAGAAGTTGTGCTACTTGGCCCGACCCATGACAGCAATACGTAACTGAACGAAGTACAATAGTAGATTTTATGTACGTTGACCCAAAGCTCCTTGTTGTTTGAAGAAACCCTCCACTTCAATTGGTATTTTTTCACGAAAAGCAAACATGAGATAACAAATCCAGTCTTTCACTAAGATTTCGAATAGCTGTCCCGAATTCAAGTTGATTATGTTTCGCCCCTTCCTCGGAGAAAGACGATCAAACAATTCCCAATCATGGTCCTTGCGGATCGGATCATCCATATAATATACAAAAAGAAACTCCAGATATTTGATATCTTTCTCTTTGAATGAGATCTCAATTCCAGCGACGGTTTCATTAGATATCTTACAACTAGAATCCCTCTTTTTTCCGATCCAGTTCCTCCACCACCGCGAACCCCAGTTAGATTCAGACATGATACACTTTTTAGTTATTGGGAGAACCCAAGTACTCTCTTTCGGATCCAGGAAACGGCTCTCAGAGATCTTTTTTCCTTTTGGAAGATACAGGAGCGAAACAATCAACCTATTGATATTGGAAGACAAAATCATAAAATTTAGGTAGCAAATGTATCAATCCCACTTTAACTCAAAAGCCATATCTAGATTCGGGAACTCGATATATAATGGTTATTGATTTAGATCAAGAGTAGCCGACCATTCAAGGTTCTATTTATAATCATTACTTCCCAGTTAGAATCACTCGATGATAGAAAATCATAAACTATAGTTATGCTTGGTGAAGTAGTAGCTATTTTCTCGGATGTCTCTATCTATTTTATTAAATCTTATATAGCTTCTCGGAAGTTCTTTCTACTTTAGGGTTAAAGATTAAATCACTTATATAAGATCCGGTCATACAACAACTTAATATAAATGATAAGAAATAGTTAGAATGTAAAGAAACCATTAATTTCAATGCAAGTTCCCCAACAACGAGCAAAAATTTGATTGCACATCGTAATGCTAACAAATTAAATATTTATTTTCCTTACTGAACTCAATCACAAGACTATAGTTAGGGCAAGTAATGGTCGATCCCATTGAAAATTAGTTCAATTAGAGTTATATATCATTTTATTTTTTTAAGGTTTAAGGAAAGGTAAAAAATGAGGTTTAGTTTGTTGAGGGTAGTAAAGGTATTCAAAAGTAAATAAAAGATAACAATAATAAAGAAAGCCTTGGTTAAAGGTCGCTTTCCACTTTTGGTTCATTCATTAATCATCAATTCAAACATTAATCCATTCTTATTATGAATATTCATTGTAGGAGAACCTTCTCTCTCTCTCTCTCTATCTCTCTCCCCTCTCTCCCTCCATTTCTTTCCCACCCTCCTTCTCTCTATCTCCTTCTCTCTCTCCCTCTCTCTCCATCTATCTCTCTCCTTCCCTCCCTCTTTCTCCCTCTCTCTCCCTCTATCCCTCTCCTTCCCTCCCTTCTCCTCCCTCTCACCCTCTCCCTCCCTCTCAATCTCCCTTTCACTCTCCCTCACTACCTTTCTTCCTCTATCTCTCTTCCTTCCATGCCCTCTCTCTCACTTTCCTACTCTCCCTCACTCCCTCTCTCTCCCTCCGTCCCTCTATCTCCTTCTCCCTCCCTCTCTCCCTCCCTCTCCCTATCCCTCCCCCACTCTCCCTCTCTCTCTCACCCTCTCTCCCTCTATCCCTCCCCCACTCTCCCTCTCTCTCCTTCTCTCTCGCACCCTCTCTCCCCCTCTCTCTTTCTCTCTCTCCCACCCTCTCTCTTCCATCTCTCCCACCTTCTCTCTCTCCCTCACTCTCCCTTTCCCCTCTCTCTCACTATCCCTTATTCTCGTCCTCCCATTATATCTCTCCATTTATCTATCCTTTTCTCTTTCTCCTTCTCTCTTTTTTCTCTCTCTCTCTCTTTTCCTCTCTACCTCTACCTCTCTCCCTCTCTCATTCGTTCTATCTCTCTTGATCCTTCACTCTCATTCCCTTATTCTCTCTATGCCTCTCTCTCACTCAATTTCTCTTTCTTCTTTTATCTATCTCTCTCTCCCTCCCACTTCCCTTCCTTTCTCTCCTAATCTCTCCCTCTTCACTCTCCCTCTCTCTCCACCTCTCACTCCCTCTCTCTAACTCTTGCTCTCTTCAACCCTTGCTCTCTCCCTCTCCTTTTTGTCCACCTCCATCTCTCTAACTCCTGCTCTCTTCGACCCTTGCTCTCTCCCTCTCTTTTTTTGTCCACCTCCATCTCTCTAACTCTTACTCTCTCCCCCTCACTCTCCCACACACTCTCTCCCTCTCCCCCTCTCCCCCTCTCTCCCTCTATCTCTTTCTCTTTCTCCCTCTCTGCCTCTATCTCTCTCCCTCTCTCTTCCTCCTTCTCCTTCTCCTTCTCTCTCTCTCTCTCACTCCCCCTCTATCTTCTTATCTCTCTTCCTCTTCGCCTCTTGGAATCTATCTCTCTCCCTCACTCTCTTTTCCTCTTTTTATCTCTCCCTCTCTCTGCCTCCCTCACTCCCTCCCTCTCTATATCCCACTCTATCCCCTCTCTCTCCCCTTTACCCTCTCTATCTATCTCTCCCTCTCTCCCTTTATCCCTTTCTCTCTCTCCTTTCCTCTCCCTATCTCCCCCTCTTTCTCCTTCTTCCTCTTTCTTACTCTCCTTCTCTCACCTTCTCATTCTCTCTTTTACCCCTCTCTTCGACTCTCTTTGGGTCTTTCTCCCTCTCTTTCCCCCACTTTCCCTTTAAGTTGCTCTCCCTCTCTCTATCCTTCTCTCTTTTCTCGCTTTCTCCTTCTCTCTTGCCCTCTCTATTTCTCTTCTCTTTTCTCTCCTTTCTCTCTCTTGCCTCTCTTTCTCCCTCTCTCCTTCTCTTTGTTTATCCCTCTCTCCCCCTCACTCTCTCTATCTCTCTCCCTCTCCCCCTCTATCTCTTTCCTTCTCTGTCTCCCTTTTCATCCTCCTTTTGTACCTCTATCTCTCTATCCATGTCTCTTCCCCTCCCTCTCTCTCTATCACTCTCTCACTACCTCTCTATCTCAATCTTCCTCTCTCCATCCCTCTCTCTCCCTTTCTCTTGACCTCTTTTTCCATTCCTCACCCCCTCTCTCTCTTGCTCCCTCTCCCTCTCTTTCTCTCTCCCTCTAACCTCTCACTTTCTCTCTTTTTTTATCTCTCTCTCACTCTCACTCTCCCTCTCCCTCTCTCCCCCTTCTCCCTCTCACTCTCCATCCTCTATCTCCCTTGGTTCCTCTCTTTCCCTCTCTCTCTCTATCTTCTTCTCGTTTTCCATTTATCTCTATCATACTCACTCCTCTCCTCCTCTCTATCTCTCTCCATCACTCCCTCTCTTTGTCTCTCTATCCCCATCTCTTACCCTCTCTTTCCCTTCCTCTCTCCCTCATTTTTCTCTCCCTCTCTCCCTATGTCTCTTTCCCTCTCTCTTGCATTCTCTATTCTCTCTCATTATTTATCTCTTTCCCTCTCTCTCTCCTTCACTCTCTTTCTCTCTCCCTCTCTCCCTCTCTCTCTCCCTCTCTTACTCTTTTTGCGTATTACTCTCCCTCTTCCTCTCTCCCCTTCTCTCTACCTCTCTCTACCTCTTACACTTTTTCTCTCCCTTCCTCTCCCTTTCCCTCCTTCTATCCCCCTCTTTCTCCCTCTTCCTCTCTTTCCGCCTCCCTTCACCTCCTTCCCCCCTCTCTCCCCTCTCTCACACCCTCTCCCTCCCTCTCTCTATGTCTCTCTCCCTTCTCTCTCTCCCCCTATCTCCCTCGTTAACTCTTTCTCTCCTTAACTCTTCCCTCTCTTGATCATTCCTTCTCTCTCCCTCTCTCTTTCCTCTCTTCCTCCCACTCATACTCTCTCCCTCTCTCTATCTTTCTTAAGCTTTCCCTATCCTTTCCACACTTTTTCTCGCTCTCTTGGCCTTTCCCTCTCTCCCTCTCTCTCCCCTTCTAGCACTCTCTCCTATTGTCTCTCTCCCCCTGTCTTTCTCCCCCTTCCTTTCCTCTCCATCCTTTCCTCTCCATCTCTCTCTCTTACCCCCTCCCTAACTCCCTATCTCTCCTCCTCTCACTCTCCCCTATCCCCTATCTATCTACCTCTCTCCCACTTTCTCTCTTTCTCTCCCTCTCTTCTTTTCACTTTCTCTATCTATCTCTCTTACTCTCTCCCTCCCTTTCCCTCTATCTTTCACTCCCTCTCTCTCCCTCTTGCTCTCTTTCTTTACCTCTCTATCTCTATCCCTATCTCTTCCTCTCTCCCCATCTCTCTCTGTTCTTCTCTCCCTCTCCCTCTCTCACCCTTTCTCCCTCTCTCTATCCCTTCCCCTCTCTCATTAACTCTCTTTCCCTTCCTCTCTCCCTCCTCTCCCTCTCTCTATTTCTTTACCTCTTTTGCTCTTTTTTTATCCTTCTCGTTGTCCCTCTCTTCCTCTCTCACTCTCTCCCTCCCTCTCTCCCTCTATCTTTCTCTTCATCTCTTTCTCTCTTCCTCTCTCCCTCTCTCTATATTTGCCTCTCTCTCCCTCTCTCCCTCTTTCCTTATCTCTCCCTCTTTCTCCCTCTCTCTCCCAATCTCTCCCTTTTTCTCCCTCTCCTCATCTCATCTCTCTTTCTCTCTCTTCTCTATCTCTCCCTTTCATTCTCCCTCTCTCCCTCTTTATCTACCTCACTCCCCCTCTCTCTATCTCTCCCTTCCTTTTCTCTACCACACTTTCTCTCTCCCTCTCTCACTCCCTCCCTCCCCCTCCCTTTTTCCCTCTTTCTCTCTCCTTACTTTCTCTCCTTTTTCCTCTCTCCCTCCCTCTCCTTCTCCTTTTCTCTCCTAGTCTCTCTCTTTCCCCTGTCTCTCTCTTTCTCTCTTTTTCTACTCATCTCTCTCTTTCATTCTCTCCTCCTTCCTCTCTCTCTCACCTCCCACTCTCTCTCATAATCTTTTCCACACTCCCTTCGATCTTCCTCTCCTTTATCCCTTCTTATCTTTCTCTCTCCTACTCCCTCCTTCTCCTCGCCCCTTCTTTCTTCTTCTCTCTTTCTCTCTCCCTTTCCCTATCTCCCTCTCCCTTTTTCTCCCCATTCCTCTCCTTTTCTCTCCGTCTCCCTCTCTCTCTCCTTTCTCTCTCCCACTCTCTACCTCTCTTCCTTCTCTCTTCTCTATCCCTGTCTCCCTGTTCCTCACCCTTTCTCCTTCTTTCACTCTTTCCATCTCTCTTTTTCTCTCATGCTTTGTCTTCCTATATATATATATATATATATATATATAGCACTCCCTCTCTCCCTCTCTTCCCTCTCTAACCCTCTTTGACACTATCTCTCTCTCCCTCTTTCTATCTTGCCCTATTTCTCTCTCACCCTCGTTATTTCTCTCATTCTCCCCCTCTTTATTTTTCTCTCCCTCTCTCTCTTGCTTTAATTCTCTTTATTTCTCTCTCACCCTTTTCCACTCTCTTTTTCTCTCTCCTAATCTCTTGCTCACTCTCTCTCCCTCTTTCTCGTTCCTTCTCTCTCCCTCTCTCCTCCTTCTTACTCTCTCCTCTCTTTTCTCCCTTACTCA